TTTTATAGTGATTTTATAGTGTTTTCTTTAAGTTTTTCTTGAGTTTTCCTTGAGTTTTTATCCTATTTTTATTGTATGTTTCCGGGTTTTTCTTCCTATTTTCTATATTTTAGATTCTATCATCACGAACTTTTTTTTATGGAATTGCTACATAAAAAACCACATAAATTTATAGTAATTTCTTATAGAAATTTATATACTCTACGAACCTTCGGTAATATTACATATATGTAAAGCACGTAAGTTTGCATAAATTATTACATAAATATATACTGCTTATTATACAGTATTACAATTATTTATCAATATATATTTTGAGCGAAAATTATCAATTTCTTGTATTAAGTAAAAATCAGCAACATTTTTTTCTCATTACCCCAAGATAGTAATTATTTATGGAAATTGCATAACAAATTATTAGCAACATTTTGCAAATTTACTATAAAACCTTGCTCTAAATCTACAATTGAACTATCATAGCAATTTAACTTCTTACTGCATTGGCCTAAAAATTATTCGATAAAATATTTTATTTAGTTTGCGAAATAAACCAATAACTAAAAAAATTTAACAAATTTAATTTATAACTTGCCTTGAGAGATTGATACAGAGTATTAACCTTTTCAGGATCTAATTTCATGCCTTCATATTTTGGATCGAGAATGTAAAGGCAAATAGCAATTGCAAAGACTTTGTCATCTTCGGTAGGTTGATGTTTTGTTCAAACTTTTGAGATAATTGAATCCATATAGGTTTGAGATGATATAGTACTAATTGGGTTATTTAGTTTGCGTAAGCACCATTTTGTATTTGCTGAATCTTTAAAAGTTTTAATTGTATCAGCAGAAGCTGACGAATCAATTTTATTAAGTTTGTCTTGAAATACTTCAAATAGTTTATCTTTAATTTTCTTAACAATAGTCCCACAATGCTTGCATATTTTATCTTTTGCCTATTAAATAATAAATATATTATATATTTAGTGATTAAGTAAATTTAAAATATAAAATATAAATAGAATATTAAATACTATAGAACAGATTGCTGATTTGAAAAAAGAATCCCATTCTCCATTATTTATTAAAAATCACATGCGTTCAGATTGCTTAGAACTTAATATACGTAAAGCTACAGTTTTAATCGTTTCATCTGAAGGATATTTAAAATCTGAAAAAATATCATTAACAATATATTTCCAATAAGGCTATTAAAAAATAAATTGATTATTAATTATTAATTAAATTTGTAAATTATGCTTAACTTAAACTTTTACCTCAGCCCATTGAGCTCGAGATGATGCTTCTTCTGTTTTATGTGAATTACTTAATAAATCTTTAAGCTTTTTAATTTCATCTGATTGTGAACGAATTGTTGATTCCATTTCTCCATGAAGACGTAATAATACTTTTATATCATTTTGATTATTAAGTACAATATCCAATATTTTATTAAGAGTACTATCCATTGAATCTAATAAGTATAAAGTATTACAAATAAATATTATAAATATTTTTTTTTAATAATTAAAAAAAAACTTACATTCTATATGAGTAGAGCGTGTTATTGAGCTTTTATTATTAAATAATCCTGAAGTTTTCAAATTAAATGTATTATTTCGTAAATAATTAGAACTAGATAATGTTTTTGATAAACCATCAGATTCTGAAGATTCTGAATCTTCAGAATCTGATAAATCGTTATCTTCATAATTATTTAAAAAGTATTTGTTTAATAGAGATGTAGTTTGTTGAGATTGATGAGAATTTGAATTAAGACCACTTGGTTCATCTAAAATTTAAAAAATAAAACTTTTAATATATTAAACTAAAGTAATTCTTTATTTTATAATATATATACCTAATTTATTATTTTTAGTGTTTGATGTTCTTTGAGAAGTATTGTCAACAAGTTGTATATCCGATATACTATCATCTATTAAATAGTTTTCTTGATTTGAATAATCTTGACTATTTTGAATATCTTGCATATCAACTTGTTTATTGGAAGTTAACTCTTTATTTTGAGCATTATTTACTAAATTTTTTTCTTGCAAAGGTATTGTTTTTAATTTTTTTTGTTTATGCTTCATTTTGAAAGCGTAGAAGTTAAAGTTTAAAAAAACTAATCAAAATTAAAATCAGTATTTATATAAATCAGATTTAATAATAGATCATATGAAAGATCACTAATTTTAAATAAGCAATCGAAATAAAATTTAAGATTTTTATTTTTATTACTTAAACTCAAATGGCACATACTTGTAATATTTGCAAAAAAGAGTTCAAAACTTCACAAGGATATGGAAATCATATAAAGTCATTAGCGCACAAGCTTTGTATTTTGAAGCAAGAAAAAAGTAATGATAATAAAAATTTGAATTCAAATTTATTATATGATCTTTCAAGTAATGAAGATATTAAAATTCTTAATTCAGATTTATCATATAATTCTTCAAATAATGAAGAATTAATTAGCGATATTAATGAAAATAATTATATGGATGAGGATAATTATATGGATGAGAATAATTCTAATTATATAGATGAAAATGATTATAATTATGAGTTAGATTCATTTTCTGCCGAACCAAGATTATTAAATAATGCATATATAGATTTTATGAATGTGATAGATAAATATAATGTTAGCAATAGAGCAGGAGATGCTTTTCTTAAAGTATTTAAGAAATATTCATTATGGAATCCAAATCCTTTATCAAAATCAACTAATGCTGCTCGAAATTATCTTAAATCAATTAATATGCCTACTTTATAGTTTAAAAAAGATTTAGTTTCAACATATAATAATACAAATTATTATTTTAAAAATAGATCAATTCTTTTAGCAATTCAAGAATTATTACAAAATGATGATTTAATACAACAATGTGAATTTAATTATAAAGAACAATGGGAAATAGATGAAAATAATCAAAGAGTTCGATGTTATACTGAGCTATTTAATGCAAATTGGTGGAAACGGACTGAACAACAACTTCCACCTTCTTCAAAACTTCTTTCAGTAATTCTATATTCTGATGGAACTACTTGTGATGTATTAGGAAAAACATCACAGCATCCTTTATTTATTACTCTTGGAAATATTCCATCACAACAGTGTAATAAACAAAATGCAAAAGCTATTATTAGATTATTTCCAATAATTAAGCCACTTAATTAAAATCAAAAAAAATCTGATGAATATCGATTAGAATTACGAAAAACTTTTCAAAAATGTATAGATATTGTTTTAGAACCTATATATCAAAAATTATTTACAGGATTTATATTACGTATTAACAAACAACCTACTTTGATATATATTCGAATTGCAATGATTATATCAGATTTACTTGAAGCAGCAAACTATTGTTTAACATCTAAATCAGCTAATGCAAAATTTCCTTGTCATAAATGTCTAATTAGCAATGAAAATCTTGCTAATATTAATTTAACTAGCAATCAAATTACTTATCGAACACATGAAAATATGAAAATAGCTATAGAAACAGGAACAAGCAATCTTTATTCTGTTGTTAATCTAGAAAATAGCTTTTGGAAAATGCCTGATATAAATATTTATCTAGCTACTGTACCAGATCGGCTACATCATTTAGATATTGAGCTTTTTTATTATCAACTTAAATATAGTCGAATGCTTTTAAAAGAATTAGGCAGAAATAATGTATTAGATGAAATAGATTATCGATTTGGAATTATTCCTCCTATTCATGGTCTTAAAATTTTAAATTTGAATTACAAAATATTAAACGTTTTACAGCAGGAGAGTATTGAGATATTATGAAAGTTATACCTTTTATAATTGATGGTATATTATGTACATTAGACAAACAAATGGATAAATCATTAACATCATTATTTATTAAATGGAATATTATGTATCAAATGAGTCGTAATACAAAACCAAATGAAAATGACTTACAAGAATTTGAGGTATTTTTAATATAATTTAATATTATATTATTATATACTAATTTTATTTTAAATATAATTATTACAAATATAATAATAGGTTGCACGATTTAACTGGGCACAAGATTTTATAAACTTACTTCAAAAATTTTCTCCTTCGGGCCTTAGCCATATAAAACTTCATTCTTGGTTATATCACATAACAGAAACAATTAAAGAATTTAGAAATATGAACGGATGGACTTCAGAGACATATGAATATCTTCACAAAGACTATATTAAAAAACCTTATCGAATCAGTAATAAACGTAATATAAATATGCAAATTATATGAAGTGTAAGTATTATAACTAAATTAAATATAAAATTTAAAAATTATTATATATTAACTAACTTTATTTTATAGATAAAGCAACGAATAACTTTGGCATCATTAAATACTACTCTGCATAATTATACACCAAGCAATAATGAACAATTTAGCACATTAATTTATTCTTTCTGGTTTAATAATTATATTAATATTCAAAATATAATGATAAATTCTAATGAACATGAATTTACATTATTAGGAATGGCCAATTTGCAAAATTGTTTAAATACATGGTTTGAAATATCTAATAGAACTGAAGATAATTTGAATAATCTGTCAATCTGGATTGAATTATATAAATCGGTCAAACTTGAAAATGGTCAAAGAATTTATGCTACGAAAAATTTTTATCAAAGATCACATTTTGCTAATATTGCGATAGAAATAAAGGAAGCAGAATTAACCAATTACAACGAAGAAAAGAGATTATGCTTTGGAAAAGTAAGATTAAATATATACTATTTTTAAATTTAAATAATTTATAAACAAATTTATTTTTATAGGTATTATTATTATTACGATTAACCTATAATAATGCAACGCATTCTCTAGTATTGGTACAATGGTATGATTTCAAGTATCAAGATCCCAGACGATATTACAAGTATGATAATCCTTATATTAAATTGCTAGAAGAATTTAATATAATTCCGCTTAATTTGGTGCAATATGAAGTTCATATAATACCTCGGTTTGGATATAACAATGCATATTATGTTAATAATTACATAAATTTATAAAGAATTTGTATAAGAAATTATATATTATTAGATAGCTAATCGATAGTAAAGATTATAAAAATTTATGATAAAAAATTACAATTTGCTGCGTAAGTTTATGGCTACGTGAATTTATAATCAAAAATTATATAATATATTACACTTTGTTACATAGATTTATGGCTATGTAAATTTATAGTAAAAATTTACATAGTATTAATATTACTTATGTAAGTTAACGTAAATTTATGGACCTTCAAAGTTCGTGATGTTAAAATAATTAAAGTTTTTTAAAAATCGTTGACAACTATAAATTTTTACTATGAACCTATTTTTAGTTTATTAGTTAAAAATATTCTTTGACCAATTTTATATATAATTTGTCTATTTCGAATTTTAATTATAACATTAATTTATAAATATTTATTATTAATTTTATAACGTTATTTTTTTAAAAATTTTTATTAACTAATAACGAGCTATTAAAAAGTTAGTTGTAAGTAAGTTAATAGAATATTAATATTTTAACAATATTTTTACAATCTTTTAACAATATTTTAACTATACTGTAAGTATATTTATCAAAATATATAGGTTTCTGTAAAGTATATTTATCATATAATAATTATATAATTATTATATGATAAATATATTTAGCAAAATCAAAGGTTTCTGCAAAGATATATTGTACGTCAAATTACAGTAATATTTGCATCTGATAAAATGATTATAATACTTACTCAAGGTTTTCTCTAACGATATTCAATATTTAAATTTTGATTTGACGTACTACATAAATAGCGATAAAATTCATTAATTTATTATTCCAAAAAAAAATTTTTAATATTGTATAAAACTATCAGTAATTCCTACGGCACACACTTCTATGTGTAATTTCATAATTTTATCGAATTGTGCATAGGCTTTTTTGTTTATTCTTTTTTTTTCATCTTAAATTTGAAATTGATGGAATCTTAAGCATTAGAATTGGAAGTTCATACAGATGCAAACACATTCATTTTTAACTCGTCGCTCGTTCAGAGAATCTTGCGATTACCAGTCGCCCTGTTAATCATACCTTATGGTAATACGATTTTTCTGTAGTTGGATTTATAGGACATGGTTTATAAAAAATGGATAAAGGTTGTACATATTTAGGAATTTAACTGTTTTTAATACTGATACTGATTATTATCGATATAAATTCAAATCATTATTCAAATATTAACCAAAATTTTCTGATATGGAAGAAAAAAATAAATTTAACCAATATTTTAAATCCGCTAAAAATGGAATTCTACTAGACAATATTTTCTTTTGCAATGTTACCAGCTCGGAATAGGCGAAAAGAATGCATTTGAATGGTATTTGAAATCTGCAGAAGGTAATAACCCGGCAGGACAAAGAAATCTTGGACTCTGTTATGAACATGGAAGGGGGACTACCAAGAATGAAGATAAGGCATTTGAATGTTTTAAGAAATCTGCAGAAGGCGGTAATTTAAATGAACAAAATGATCTTGGACAATATTATGAAAGAGGTACAGGAACTTCTAAAAATGAAAAGAAGGCATTTGAATGGTTTTTGTAATCTGCCAAAGGTGACAATTTCAACGCACAATTTAACCTTGGGCGTTGCTATCAGCAGGTATCGCAAGAAATGAAAAAGAGGCATTCAAATGGCACTTGAAATCGCCAAAGGAAATAATTCTACTGGACAATATAGTGTTGGATACTGCTACAGAAATGGCATAGGTACTTCCAAAGAAGAAAAGAAAGAATTTGAATGGCATTTGAAATTTACTGAAAATGGAAATTTACAAGGACAATTTGCTCTTGGGAACTGCTATAAAGGTGGTATAGGTACTGCCAAAAATGAAAAAAAGCATTTAAATGGTATTTGAAATCTGCAGAAGGAGGCAATTCTGAAGGACAATCTATGCTTGGATTCTGCTATGAGTTTAGCATAGGAACTACCAAGGATGTGCAGAAGGCATTTGAATAGTATTTGAAATCTTCTGAAGCAGGCGATTCCATGGTATAACCTTGGATGTTGCTATCACATAGAAGAGGCATTGCAAAGAATGAGAAAAAAGCATTCGAGTGGTATTTGAAATCCGCTGAAAGTGGTGATTTTGATGCACAATACAATTTTGGAAACTGTTATAGTCAAGGCATAGGCACTACTAAAGATGAAAATAAGCATTTGAATGGATTTTGAAATCCGCTGAAGGTGGTGTCTCTATTTGTCAATATAATCATGGTAACTGTTGTAGATACGGTTTTGGTACTGTCAAGGACGAAAAAAAAAGCATTCGAGTGGTACTTAAAATCTGCTGAAGGTGATAATTATCCTTGTCAATATTGAAGTTAGATTATGTTATCGTAATGTTATTGGGACTTCACCAAATCAAGAAAAAGCAAATGAGTGGTTACAAAAAGCTAAAAATAATAAAGATCGACGAGTATTTTGAAAATTGTAATGATGATTTATTAAAGGATTTATTTTCTGAAAATAAGTTAATATCACGGATACCATTTAGTGAATTAAATATTATCGCAAAAATTGGAGAATGTGGGTTTGTGACTGTGTATTCTGCTAGATAGGCACATTTTGATTCATTTACTGAAACAAGATAAGGTTGTTGCGCTCAAATTTTTTCATGGGTCAAAGGATAACTACAAAGAATTTATAAAAAAGGTAAATGAAGCATTTGATAACTTGTATTTTATTAAATTTCGGCTGACTTGT